GGAACGTCTGGGTGGAACATATATGACGAGCAACATTCTGGTAAATCGATCATCTACAGAATAACTCTTTTGATTCTTTTTCTAATTCTGTATTATACTGAAAACAGGTGACTTGAGCCTTCAAGCCGCGCAGTTGTACGACGGAAACTGGGGGCCAACTCGATCAGCAGCAGCATTTGCAGAGTCTCCATTAGGAATGTTTTTCTACTTTCTTCCCAAGAAGCTCTGGTTTGTGATTGAGAAGGAGACAAATGTATATCGCGAGGCTTGTATAACGCTCGTCGCACGCCAGCAACGAGAGAAACAGCTCCAAGCACAAGCAAAAGATCCCAGAAAGATGTCTACACTCTTCATGAGATTGAGGAAAGGCTCCGGCGAGTAAAGCCAATCCAGGCTCACGAAATTATCCACGTGATTGGTCTTCTTGTTGCTCGAACGCTCTGTTCTCATACAGATGGCCTGGAAAACCACTGGTCAACTCGAGAAGATGGCGCAGTCCCTCGTGGAACGTTCTCCAGGTATATGAAGAGAGACAGATTCAAGATGATCACTCGTTACCTGCATTTCGCTAGTAACAACGCTGAGGCTGCGTCGAAGGACAAGGCATGGAAAGTCAGACCGGTACTACAAGTACTCGAGAAAACATTTTGTCGTGGCTACCGGTTGGGGCCGCAAATCAGTTTTGACGAAGGTACCATTCCAAACAGGAGCAAGTTCAACCCGGTGCGCGTCTACAATAAGGACAAACCTCACAAGTACGGGACTAAGGTTTACATGACGTGTTGCGCGGAGACTGGCTACTGTTCTCGGTACGTTGATACAGAATTGCTTGTAGTGTCGAGTGTTCGTCAGTATCATACAGATTATCTATTCCCCTTTCTACAGAATTGGTGCGATGTCACTTACGATATGATGTATCTTGTTCTGTATGGTACAGAATTGAAGTTTATCTTGGTGCGGCTAACAATCCATCGGCAGCAAAGGGAACCGCGCAGAAGGCTGTAATACGGAACGTGACCAAAGCCCTAGATGGGCAACCCGCTAAGCGACTTGTTGTCGCTGACAACTTCTACAGCTCGTGTGCACTAGTATTGGATTTACTTCGGAGAGGTCTCTACTACGTGGGCACGCACCGCAACGATAGATTGGGATGGCCAGTCAACTTTGCGTTCACACAGAAAACTCGGCCCAAGCGCATGCCCCGAGGGATGTATCGCGTCGCCCAAGCCATAGACTTCCCCGAGCTCATTGCCGTGTCCTGGATGGACTCAAAGCCTGTGTCTATGATTGCGACGGGATGCGCAACGACGATGACAAGTGTGAAACGCCGAGCGAAGGGTGAGAGTGTTCGGGCAGACGTACCATGTCCCCAGGTGGTTGCCGATTATCATACCGGTATGGGTGGTGTCGACCAGCACGACCAGCTCAGACTGCAGCGGTATTCGATACAGCAATGCGTGGCTTTCAAAAAATACTACCGCCAGCTATTCTTGGGGTTTGTTGACATGGCGATTGTCAATGGGTTCATCCTGCACAAACTCATCTTGAAGGAAAAGGGTGAACGCGTACCGACGCATGCAGAATACATGCGAAGACTGCACACGGAGCTTTTAACAACAACAGAAACCACATTGCGTGCAAACACCAACGCAGAGGACTTGATTACGGAGCCGATTCGGACGCAGCCACACGCTCGGAGATACGCTGCCAAATATTGGTTAGGCCCTGGACGTCCACCTGCGGAGATACCTGTAACCAGCCAGCGGTTAGTGATGTGAACAGCGCTGCAAACGATGGGTCTGGGGGGGGGGGGGGGGAGCGCGAACATTGTCGATACCGGCAATGTGTGACACGGAAAAACGGAGTCCGAACGATGTCTCCCACCAACTTAGAAGACGGATAATAACCTGGGCTCGGGGGTTCTGCGATGCCAGCTTGTTCTGCCATTCCACCGCAGAAGCGTTGTCGATGCGGAAGTGCACATGAAGAGGCCTGGAGTGGCTCAGCGATTGTTGGGACCATCGGGTTCCCCAGGCGTGGACCGCAAATGCGCACGAAAGGAGCTCGCAGTAGTTGATATCGAAGCCGTTGCGCACACCTCGATTGAACACCAAGATCGATTGGCGTTCTGGTACAGTAAACGTGATCGTGAGCGCTTCTTTGCCGGCAGGATCAAGAGCCCAGATACCATAATCAGAGGCATCCATTTCAATCACTATGTCGGGGGGGGG